GGTTTAGAGGCCATCAGGGAAGAACAGCACTAAACAAACAATGACACAAATAATGACTTCATGACAGCTGCACTGAGAGGTGGGGAGATCCAAACCCCACCACAGCAGGAGATAAAGGTTCCAATCCTCAGTTTGCCATTAATTGTTTCTTCTATAAAATGAGAAGTGCATGTAAGTGGATATTTCACATCCTTGTAAATAGCCTAAGACTTCCCAAAACTCCAAAATACTTAAAACCAAAAATGTTCGAGTATCAAGGGGAGAGGTGTCTTTGGATTTCATGTCAGTGATTCTAGACTTGCCTTGATCTCTTGCTTTTTTGCCTTCTGAGGACTTTTACTCAAGGTTTATTTTCTACCTCCCAAAAGCTTTAATCTCCTCCTTCATCTTTTCCCTTCTGCTTTCAAATATTTATAGAGTCCTTTATCTTGAATAAGTCATTACTCTGCTCTGCCATCTCTCCCAACTATCATCAAATACCTTCTTACTTTATTTCCCAGCCTAATTTCTTGAACAAGGAATTCAGGCTGCTCCATCTTCCCATCTCCGAATGGATTTTTTTAATCACTAGTGACTTCCTCCTATTTGAATTCAAAGGACTCTTGGTTTCTTTCTTCAACTTTATTTTTTCCTGACCTCCTTCCTGAATTTCAACTGTCGACGGTTAAGCCCACCTGGAAACCAAGCCATTGGCTCTTTTACCCAAATGTTCCTTTTCTTCCACGACATTTCCTTTCCCCCTTTTTAGTTTCAATGAACCCATTCAGCTCATCCCTTGACCCTTTGGTATTTTCCACTATGGTTTATTCTTTGAATTTTGAAACGTTTGTTTATCACAGCTTCACCTTTTAATTCCATGAAGTCTTCTCCCGGGTCTTTATTTCTGGCCCTGCCCTGGCACGTAGCTCCAGGTGTAGATCTTAAACTGCCCACTGGTGAAAGTCACTCGGATGTTTCTCAAAGCTGACAATGTTCAAAACCAAACTCGTGCTCTTCTTCACATCAAAACTACTTTTCTTACTAACTTGCACATTTCCATCCCTGCTCTTACAAGGCCCCAAATCTGAACCCTTGAAGTCACTTTGATCCTTCCCAATCTTTAGAGCCGCATCCCCTTTCCTCATTGCTCTATTTATATCATCGCTACGCACCCTGTCATAAATGCGAGAGAGGCATGCTTTTGTCTGATGAATCCATCCTTGCCCAGTCTGCAGAGCAGGGTTTTAGTCCCAGCTTGCTGTGAAGCTGATCGTTCTGGGCCTTGGTTTCCTCACCTGAAAATAAGGCAGTGGAAATATATGATCCTTCAGATCTTTCCCATCAGTACCTTCTCTAGTGCCACTCACTCAGTCCAGGGCATTGTCATTTCATGTACACATACCTTTCCCAAAATTGATATTAGAAAAGTTGTACATTTTTACTGCTGGACATTTGAAAGTTGCAGTAAGTTTTAAAAAATAAAAATAAAATCATTAGTCACCAGAAGTAACTAAGAGCTTATTTTTTATATGTATTTTTACATTCACTTTTTCTGAGTGTTCATAGGTGCCCAGACACTATGCAAAGTACTTAACATAGATTCTCAGTTTACCAGTAATTCTCACAGCAGTGCTTCGAGGGGCACTATTATCGCACTGTACAGATGGAGAAACTGAGGCAGAGAAGGGCACAATAGTCAGCCAAGAACACATGGCTAGTAAGTGTGGGAGCCAGGAGTCAAGCCCAGGACCAGCTAGCCGGTCCACGCTCCTACCCACGACGCAGGAAAACCATTCCACTCCCCTCTGTCCGCAAAACCGAGGGCATGCTGATGTGCAGGAGCTTTGCTTCACTTCTCCTAAGCATTTCTTCATCATTGAGAAAGTTTTTGTTGTTCGTGTCCTCCACTGTCACCACATTTGCAGGCTGCTTCTCTCTCAAGGCGGCTGCTTTGCAAACTATCATTCCTCCTGCAGTTCCCAGGTTCTAGGTGGGACTGAATCACTATTAAAAACCTATGGCTTGGGCTGGCCCGGTGGTGCACTGCTACAGTGTGCTGCTTGGGAGTGTGGCGGCGCTCCCGCCGAGGGGTCGGATCCCACATACAGACCGGCCGCTCACTGGCTGAGCGAGGTGCGGGCGCAACACCGAGGGTTGCGATCCTGTTGCTGGTCCCAGTCCGGTACGGGCGCGACACTGAGGGTTGCGATCCATTGCCGGACATGAAAAAAGACAAAAAGGGGGAAAAAAAAAAAAAACCCATGGCTATACTATTTTTTTTAAGTTTAATTTTAAAATTTCTTATATCTATTACTTTACAAATGGACATTAGCCACACTTTTTTAAATGATGGAAAACAGACCCTCAGAGAGGCAAACCTTGTATTTTCCCCAATCCCACAGATACTCGGTGGTTCTAGGATTAATATTGTTCTCTGGACTGGAATTGAATGTCCTGTTAAACCTTTTTTTTTATTTCATTTGCTCATAGCAAATATAAAGAGCAGCTGGGATGAACTAATAAAATCAAATCAGATACTGTCTTACTTTGTTTTCCAGCCTGATTTCCTGAACAAGGGATTCAGCCTAGTTCATTTCTCCATCTCTGAAACTAACCATTCCATGCTCTTAACCATTATACAAGTATCCTAATAAGTACATCCAGAAACTCTAGACCCATGTACATGGCGTGCAAATTCAACAAGGGGNACTGAGGGTTGCGATCCATTGCCGGACACGAAAAAAGACAAAAAGGGGGAAAAAAAAAAAACCTATGGCTATACTATTTTTTTTAAGTTTAATTTTAAAATTTCTTATATCTATTACTTTACAAATGGACATTAGCCACACTTTTTTAAATGATGGAAAACAGACCCTCAGAGAGGCAAACCTTGTATTTTCCCCAATCCCACAGATACTCGGTGGTTCTAGGATTAATATTGTTCTCTGGACTGGAATTGAATGTCCTGTTAAACCTTTTTTTTTATTTCATTTGCTCATAGCAAATATAAAGAGCAGCTGGGATGAACTAATAAAATCAAATCAGATACTGTCCATTGTTCTCTGGATTGGAATTGAATGTCCTGTTAAACCTTTTTTTTAATTTCACTTGCTCATAGCAAATATAAAGAGCAGCTGGGATGAACTAATAAAATCAAATCAGATACTGTCTTACTTTGTTTTCCAGCCTGATTTCCTGAACAAGGGATTCAGCCTAGTTCATTTCTCCATCTCTGAAACTAACCATTCCATGCTCTTAACCATTATACAAGTATCCTAATAAGTACATCCAGAAACTCTAGACCCATGTACATGGCGTGCAAATTCAACAAGGGGTATACCAGCAGAAAAAAACTTATCAGGTTTAAAACTAGGTTAAACAGAAAAAGTTTGGGCCCTGCAGAAAGAATGAGCAGTATTGTAAATATTATCAGGGTCACACACTTGGTCATTTTCGTGCCTCAAATTGTGTAATACCCCATAGCCTGATATGTCAAGTCCTGATAATAGTACCGTTTTCTTCTGACATGATTGCAA